TTTTAGGAGACAAAAACCTAACTCAAAATTACTAGGAGACTGAAAACCAGGCGATTGAAAATTCAAGTAACCAGAAATATTATTCTAATTACATAAATGAAGAATTAAAGCAAAAATTAGCACTCGTTCCAGGCGCCAGTGAATTTTTTTGGCTTTCCCACCACACAAATTTGGTGAATTAGAGAAAAAATCAGAAACTATTTCTGGTGCTACTGAATTTTTTTAACCTTACCACCAAATTTTGGTCCCCTTTTAGCTAAATCCCTCCCCCCCCCCTCTTTTTTTCGGTTTATTCTAGCAAATTTTGATTCAAATAGCTCCTTTAATTCCCGGAACGGACAACCTTGGTGTTCCTTACTTGGGGCGCCTTCCCCCTTCTCCTGGCATATACCTTTCCCAATTTTCGGGGGAAAAAAAGACCTTATTGCCCCTAACTTGGCACGTTTTCCCCTTCCTCCTGCCACACCCTTTCTCATTTTTTGAGGAAAAAAGGCCTTATTGGCCTTGACTTAGGGCGCCTTTCCCCTCTCCTGGTATATTTCTCTTTCATTTTCCAAAACGAGCGATCTTGGTGCCCTTGACTTGGCAAAACTTTCTTTTCAGTTACAAAAAGAACTAAAAAATGAGGCGAACAAGTACCTGTACGATAGTTTTGTTATCATTTCGGCAACCAAGCCATAGTACTGCATCGATTCCACCAACAAGTTGCGTAGCATTCTCAAAATGATGTTCCGTAAAATTATATTTTAGCAGGAAGTTGATCAACTGGGCCATCGAATTACCATTGAATCCAACAATTTTGGCAAGTTCCGTTTGCATGTACAGCGAGGGCAAAGCAGCGACGTCTGGTAACGCGGTACACGAAGATTCTGCAAAATTTTTTTCCTATTTCAAGAAATGTTTTAATTTTAATTCAAATTTCAATTTTAATTAATCCAAATTTTAATTCCAATTAATTCAAATTTTTATTTTAATCACTTCAAATTTTGAAAAAAAATTTAATTTAAACTCAGATTTTAATTTTAATTAATTCAGGCTTTAGTTTTAATTATCTCAAATTTTAATTTTAGTTGATTCAAATTTTAAAAAATTTATTTCAGGAAAAGTAAATCTGTCTTTTTTTGAATTTTTTTTATTTCAAGAAAAGTTTTAATTTTGATTCAAATTTTAATTAATTTAAATTTTAATTTTAATTGATCCAGATTTTGAAAAAATTTAATTCAAATAAAACAAATCTGTCTTTTTTTTCAAAATTTTTTTGCTTGAAAAACAACGAAATAGCAGAATAGAGGGACTGGACTTGAAAGTGTCATGTGTAAGATGACATTTTACGATGCAGTCTCTCAGTGTGTGTTTTCATCACTTAGCTGTAAACACAGGCCGAACTTTGTATGCCGATAGGAGCGGAAATGAAGCATAAATGCTCAAAAAAAAAAAAACTCTACCGTTATATGTATAATTCAAAGGTCCAGTGACGAAATGGGTTGTGCCACTGTTGCGGGAAATTGTTGTGACATAAGCATAGGTTGGGGTACGACGTTCGTTCACCAGGCTTGTTCTATTCGCATTCCAATCAGTATGCCGAACAACAACCTGTAAAAAAAAGATGCATTATGTGACCACAGAAACAACGCCTTTTTTGCAGGAGAGTGACCTGGGAAGGATTCGAACACACCTCATCTTAACTTGCTTAATTTTTTTAATTCGAATTTTAAAAAAATTTAATTCGAGAAAAATAAATTTGTCCTTTTTTTTAAAATTTTTCCGCTTGGCAAACAACGAAATAGAATCGTGACGTGTTAACCATTTGAACGGGGCATGGACAACCTCTGGCAACACACGGCCCTGATTTACATACTTGTTTAAGCTC